CCAAATAATTATTCATTTAAAAGATGGACACTTAAACCTAAAATGGTTCATTTTCACTTCAAAACACAACTCAAGGGTGTCTAACTCACATTACCAAATGCTATTAGCTCTAGAAACATTTTAACTACCTCAAATGGACCACACACAGCAAGATAATTCATTCATATCACACAATTAAAAAATCACACTCAAAATGATCACCAAATCTCCATTTGACAATAACATAATGGGGCGGATAAAATTCAATGCACAAATCAATTTGTCATTTTGGCACACAAAACACTTGAAATATATATATATATATATATATCACATATAAGTATAACTTGGCCAAACACAAACACACACACACACACACACTTAATCCACAACATCAATCTTGGACCAAGATACATGCACTTATCACAAATTTATACAAGTGATATCCAAAATAATGTCATGTTCTTAAGTTGACAATATACAATGGCAATATTTGTTACAAACTCAAAAGAGAAAGGGAAGAGTTATATTACAATGCTCTTCAGTCTTCAATTTTCCCTTTCTTCCTCTTGCCCCTATTGGAGTCCTCACCTATAAAATATAATCATGGGGTGAGATAAACATCTTAATAACAGAATAATTCACTACTAATAATTAATATGTACAACCATAATAGAGTAAAACTATAAAACTTTTAAAATATACATTTAGCATATCACCACATACTCTTTTTATCAGTACAAATCTTTTACCACTAGCATGATCATTCTACCATCCAAGCTTTCATATCACCCCGACCGAAACCATAGGCTCTTGGACCAAGTGCACATTTACAATGATCCGAGCTCATCTTTAGTAGTAGGATCACTTAGCCAAAGGTGTCTTATCCCACTTTTGGACTACGGTTTCCCTTTATCGCACACAAATTGGGGTGTCATTACTCCAACACCACATCATTGATGCTAAGGAGCGTTACTCTCCAACGCCGTATCTCGCATAGATACTAAGGAAATACATGTCATATGGACTTCCACTACTCCTTTCTACGGGTGAACTCCCACCCCTAACATGATCATGCCCACACTTAACATATATATCACATAATATTTCAAATTTCTCAATCATTTATATATAACTTTCATCATACTCATCATTTGCAAAAATAGATTTTCATGCACAAAACCACATTTTGCAATATGCAAGGTTATTAAATCTCAAGTTTAAATCCACATATCCACTCACAAACAGTTAAGCAATATAATCAATTGGTGTAAATTATTTTATCACCTCAACCCTTTGTCACACACAAAAGAATTATCGTGGTTCAACATTAGCTCCACACGTTTTATACGCATAATATAGCTCATGCAATGCTCAATCTGCACAATCAAGTGACAATCATCAATTATCACTGCGGATAACTTTGAATTATCTAGGTTTTAAATGTCTAAAATATTCAAATTTCTTTTCTAACAATATCAACCATTTCCAAACACTCTAACTATCTTATTAAACATCCCAACACATTAAATTCACTAACCAATGTCTCACATTGTCTCAAAATTTTTAAATTATACTTAGGGTTCGTCCAAACCCTTACTATCAATCACCACAAAACTTATCAACTTAGGGTTAAAGGCTTGATTTAAATCCCCAAGACCTTAAATAAATTAATGGATTTGGTCTAAACATAAAGGAACCAAAATCAAATCCCCCTATTACCCTACCAATCTAGATTTTCACACAAAAGAGGGAGAGGGAGAAGAAAGGATAGCTTACCCAACGTATATAAAGCTTAAAAGACCTCCAAAATTATGTTAGAAGCAAGCCCTAGCAACCACAAGTCTCTCTTTGTCATTGCTCTCGAGTTCCTTCTTTCTCTCTCCTATTTTTGGAGTTTGATTTGCGATCTGATAAGTGCAAATTTTGCACGTGCGTCGTGGCATGTCGATATGCCCGCCGCGGTGCATGGCATAAAAAATCTCACAAAATTTTAAACTTCCTTCCGTGCCATGGCTCGCTTGAACATCAACCTAGCCTTCTTCTAAGGTTGTCCAAAGATCCAAAAACCATATTAGTCTCCCTTAACTCTAACTAAATTAACAATTTATCTAAATTGACCAAATTACCCTTGAAAATATTGATAATTACTAATGAAAAAATGTAGGATGTTATATTATTCCTATTACTCATGATGAGGAAGTGCAAATATGATATGATTTGATAAGAATGTGACATATGTAATACTTGATATGGGGAGTAGATTGCAGTGAGAATTTGAATTCATGTGAGATGAATGATTGAATAGAATGCATAATATGTGTAAGTTGTGCATAACATGATCATTAGCAGAAGTTCGTCTAGGAAGAGAAATAGATGGTTAAATCTATGTGGTATTGGCGATAACCGTTGGAATCGAGAGGTAGCCCTTAGCCTATATTTGATTTGGAACTGTCCTACTTATTTTATGAGAGATTCAAACCTAACTAGTCTCCATTGATTTATGAGGAGGATGGATTAGGAGTATGACATCCCATATTTGTTAATATTAGGAAAAACCGTGATACATAAGTGAGTGAGTTAACCCTGTCCTAGTAGCTCCTCACAAGTAAAAGACTGAGTTAGTCCGTGATGGATATAGCCACTTAATAGCCACCAATTTCATATAGAAGGTAATAGGAGAGTATAAGGCTGACATTTGATCATGTATATAGATCCAACTCTATGGTTATTATTATTGTGGTCCAACATGTGTTAGGGGCTCATGGTTAGTATTATTGCAATCTCATGATGTGCATTATTGCTAAATGTGCTAATATATGTTTTAGGCTCAATCACAAGGTTGTTATTGTTGTGAATCGTGGCTATAATTGTCTTGCATGCATTATATGTGAAAGTCATTGCCTATTGCATCTGTTTTTAATTGATATACAACTGCATGATTAGGTGAAACTTGATTATCAAGTAGTTGTACTCACCCCTCAATTCTCAATATTTTCATAGCCTAGCTTATCGAATTCAAATAGGGGAAAATGTGTCGAGGTATAGAATTGTATAGTAATTCTTTTAGTATGCCTCAATATGTTGTTTTATATGTATTAACATTGTTAATTTTTCAACTAGGATTTACATGATTATTTTTAAGCTACTTGCATTATTATAATGTACAAGTTGTATATTTTGTGCAAGGTACGTAAAACCGGACCGGTCATTGAATCGGTCATGGCACTGGGTCACGGGTTAGTGGTTCAATTAAGGTTGAACCAGGGGTTGAACCGGTGGCAAATTGGTCATGATTAAAATAATACAATTTAAATAAAAAGACATTAATTAGAAAAACATTCAACCAAATCCAACCACTCAAAAGTCTAACAATAATAAAATACAACATTTTAAATATCTATCATTATAATTACAACTCTTCAATCTCAAAAGTCTACAGAAGAGATGGAGATAGAGCTAGAGAAGAGACGGAGATTGAGTTGGAAAAAAGACGAAGAGTTAGAGACTAAGCTAGAGAAGAGATGAAGATAACAGAGACAGAGATATAGATAGAGTTGGAGAAGAGACGAAAATAGAGCTGGAGCCTGAAGAAGAGACGAAGACTAAGCTAGAGAAGAGACGCTGATTAGATTAGGGTGAGAGAGGAGAGACACAGATGAAAGGCCGAACTAAATACTGTCTGAAAATCTGAATTGGACTTAGCGTGCTCTACCTCTAATTTTTCATTTTTTGACTTTAGTTTCACTTTTTTTTTGTTATCTTATTTCTAAATTCAGCACTCTGAAAAATAAAAAATGAAAAAAAAATTCTCAAAAAAAACCTGGTTAACCTAGTCAACCCACCGAGTTATACCGGGTTGAACTGGGGTTGATCGAGTTACACCGATTCATTCCCTCACCGGTTTAGGAGTAAATCCAGATCGGATAAGGGACCGGGTCATCAGTTTTCGGGTTGACCCGGCCGGTCCGGTCCGAGTTTCAATACCATGTCTCCAAGTTAGTGAGGTTTGGTTGTAAACCTTATATAGGGTTAAAATACTTATGCAAGTAGTGTTATGTGTATTTTGGGGTAATTGAAATGAAAATGATTGATTTATGCTAGAAATTCCTCCCTTTTATGTTTTATGAAACTTGGGGTTGAATGGCGAATTTGGATTATGTGTGTATATTGGTGGTTGTGGTGTGTTTCACAAGTCTTATAGGGTTCATTAAGCATGGTTGAGTGGTCGGTATGGGCTTTTGACACTTATATGTGAGTTGGGACACCATTGTTATAAGTTTGTGTGAAAAAGGAGTGAAAATGGATTTATGTATCCAACTTTTTGTAGAAAATGAATTTGAGTGTGAAACTTATGCCATTAGCTAGAGCTAGTATATAGCTTCATGTAGACACCAAAATTACCTCAATCAAAAGTCGGATGAGGATTTGGGACGCATCAAAAGTTTGCTCCTAGTGCTATCATATGATAGTAAAAATTTTGTCAAATTTCATGCAATATACTGCGACGTATGGTGCATGGCACAGAGATGAATGAACCGCAATGCAATGACATTTAGCCATAGCACATGTACAATTTTTTACTGTTTTCATAGCTTTGAGTTTTAAATCAAATGTTTTGGGGCCCATTTGAATTTTAGGCTTCCGCATTGTTTTAAAGCTCTAATTTAAACATAAAAAAAGTGTATGGGAAAGATGTAAATGTTAAAAATATTGTGATATTCATTGCAATGATTTGAAATTTTTTCCTCCATTTGAAATTTTGGTAAACATGTTTCTCTTCTTTGTGAATTATGAAAAAATTGGTAATCCCTATAAGGTTAGTCTCTTGATTACATCAGAGTTGATAATTTACGAAGTTTAAGTAAGAGCATTACATTATCCCTTTCTTTTTCGAAACACTGGCGGAGGGATATATCCATTGGTTCATGTACTTCACCATATCTAAAAACAAGTTACCCTATAAAGCTGTTGATCATCCATATACAACTACTTTCCATAAATAAAAAAAACATTTATTAGGGAACAGTAGGCTAATATACCTTTAAATGTATACAAGTTCTTCCCTATTGAAGACATTCTTGATGGAAAGGCGCCCCATAATGTTTTTATTCATATGAAAAAAAATTTCTAGCATTAAACTATTTCTTTTCTTTCATTTATTTCCCTTTCAAGTTTAATCAATCCCATTTGTTATGATAGATGTTATTGGATTTCTTAAAGCTGTTGGCCCACTTAAGGGGTTCCAAAGCTACAATGAGACCCAAAGCATATTTCTTTTTGAGATTGCTGATATTAAGTAATTATACTTTACAGGATTGACATGCTTTCTCTTTCTGTCGAAGCAACCATATTGTTGCCATATTATTCACTAAACTTTTTTTATTCCATTTACAGCAATAAAGTATTAATTGCGTGTTATTTGGTGACTGCGCAACTGCTGCATACAACAATTACCTGACACACACAGAGGTCCCAATTATTGTAGTCATGCATTTTGTATGTGCAAGCAAGAAAGGTTAACCTTCCATTTTATCATATATTACACCTATTTGTCTTTTTTTTTTTTTTTAAATAACTAAAGATTTTACATTTCCTTCTCTCATGCCTTATTAGTTTCAACCCTGACATACCAAAAGTGGAAGACATGCTACAAAGGTACCCTGTTCTCCCTTGTGTACTTATTTTATATTTTATAAATTTTTTAATATATTAAATTTTTGTAAAACTGATTGAAATTTTTATTTGGGGTGTTGTCTTCCCTTCCATGATTATAGAATTGAAGGAACTCCAGCGCACATTTTCCATACTTTCAGTCAAATCATTGGCACTCAACAATCACAGCCTTCTTCGGAGGCAATGCTTTATAATAAGAAGAAGATTACAGTCTCTGAAATCAACAAACAAGAAAAGGTGTTAAATTAAATTACATCTTATTATCAATTATTATTATTTTTGTCACTGTATTATAAATTTAATGTCTTTTACTAAACCATTTCATTATTTATATCCTATCAGGAGGATCCTTTTATTGTAGCTTGTGAGATTGAGAAGTTGGAAACCAAATATGATTGGATTTATGAAGGATGTCCTACTTGTCTAGTATCCTTGAATGAGAATGGTACCGAATACTGTGATCACTATAAGATAAATGTCTTGATCAAGGAAGCCAAGTACGTAAAATTGCTTTCTTGGAATAAAAGTATGATGTGTGGTTTTGTCACGTAATAATGTTTCTATTTAACTTAAACAACCCATTTGTCACTTTTCAATATGCCTTCACTTTACCGGCTGAAAGTCCACTACTCAATCTTCGATGCCACCAATATAGCTTCTGTGGTCTTCTTCAACGCATTGGCAACTTAGTTGATTGGAAGTTGTGCAGCACTTTTAAAAAAGAAACTTGAATTGGTATGTTAACACTAGTTTATTTACAGTTTTATTTATTTATAATTTGTTGGTAATGTATACTTGAACTTTCAAATTATACCTATCTATTTGCTCACATACTTTTAGGAAGACATGCCTTTCTTATTCCCAGAAGAAGTTGAAATACCTGTGGGCAAGAAATTGCTATTAAAGCTTAAATTAAATGACTACAACAAGAATATCCGAACTCAAGTGTAAGCATGTTGCAGTACACTGAGCAGCAAGACCTGTTACCTAAATTCATGAAAGAGTGTTCTCAAGAACCTCACGTGGAAAATATTGAATGACAAGAGGCAATAATACTTATATTAGTTTGAACTTTTTATTTCTTCTATTTAATAATTGAAGCTTGTGATGTCTGTTAAGTATACATCCCATCAACAATGTTAACTAACTAACTCATAAATTATAGGTTGTGTGCTCCGCTGAGTTTGAATTGCAACAACCATCCAATCATTTGTCTGCATCTCTTTTTACACCACTTAGTGACAAGGAATACGTATGTAGATGAGGATGATGAAACAATTTCTCAATTAGTCTCCTCCAGTTTTGCAAAAGGTATAAAGAAGAAGTAGATCAAGCGCACAACCTATGAAGATGACTCCATGGCTCTTTCTGATTTCTCTACTCCAAACTTCTCCAAATCACGCGCAAAAAGGACAATTAAGAAGGAAAAAGATTACTTAGCTGTTGGTGGATTCTGTTATAGTTGGTTTTACTTTCTCTTTGTTATATGAAAAGTTAATTATAAAGGACTTCTTTGTAATTTTAAATTATGTTAGCACTATGTTGTTAGGTTTAATGACAAGAGAGAATTACATTAAAGTTCCATACAAAAAAAAAATTAATTACTTTAAAGTTTATTAACAATTAAATTAAATTATATTGACAATACAACCAATTATCAATACAGTTTAGTTTAGTTTAGTTGTCAATGAATCTTATAGTAATTAATTTTCTTGTGTGGGACTCAATTATAATTCTCCCTAATGACAATGTGTAACATTGTCCTTTTATCTTTTAGTTGCAATTAGGCAAGAGTAATTTATAACAATATCATATATTTAGTCACTTATGGTTTACCCCATTAATCAAGCAGCTGGTTCCATTTTAGAGCAGCAAACATTCAAGTTGATAATGATATAGTTATAAAATAAACAAATTATCTTTATGTCAAATTACAAAAACATACAAAATTGTTGTCAAAACTAATTATATTTCATTTATTATATTTATTTAATTATTTCTTATTCACTTTTATTGTGAAAATAATTATTGTCATCAAACTCATAACTTATACGATGGTAATTGATGTAAGATTTAAAAAAATTGAAACTAAAGCTACACTTAATGAAAAATTGATCATAATACTATAGAATAAAATTATTTACCAAAATATTACAAATATTACGCATTTACTATAGAAAATTGGCTTCTATGCTTATAAGTTCAGCTTTTTTCCCCCTTTATGTGAGAACTATATAAGTCAGTCCGTGTGGAACGGAAGTTTATACTAATAATAAAAATATTATTTATCAGATGTAGCAAGCTATCCGCCCCTGTTCATTCCTGTCAAATTTGGTAAGTTAATAAAATTTAAAAAATGAAAAGAAAACCTTGCAAAAGCAATAAATTTGTCCTATTCAAATAAAAAGATCCCAATGGGAGTAAATAAATTGTCCTCTTCTCATCTTTTTAATTTTATTCATTGTAGTGTTTGGGAGAAAGAGAGACTCTCCTTTTTTTTTTTTTTCCCTCCACTTCTCCCATCTCCACCCTTCACTAATTTTATCTTTTAAAAAAATTATTTAATAAAATAATATTAAGAGTGGAGATGGGGGAAGTGGAGAGAAAGAAAAGGAGAGTCCTCTCTCTCACGTGTTTAGGAGGCTTGACAATACTTCTGACAAAGTTGATTCTTTAAAGGTAAGCCCACGTGATGTACAATAAAATAAGCAAACTCTCATTTTTTACAAGTTAATGAGGGGAAATAAAATAGCTTCAAATACACATATTGCTCTCATTATTCCCTTCAAACAATATCACGCGTGCTTTCATTATTTCCTTCCAATCACATACGTCGCTTCAATATTTCCTCTAAACTCAGAGGAGCAACTATGAAGCACCTTGATGACTCCCTATTTTATATTATTATTAATATATTTTTTATTATATTTTAAAAGTCATCAATCAAAAAGAAAAATATTTTTTTATTTTAAAAAAAAATTAATTAAGTGCTGATGAATAATATATTTTATATATTTTATCTCACATTTTTCATACATTTTAATAATAATTTTGGGCTAATTTGAGTTTATTAAATATTATTTAGATTGTTAACCAATTTTGAGAAAAAAATATATTTTTGACTTAATTATAAAAATTTTGGACTTAAATTGTTAATATTTTATTTTTCTATTTTTAAAATGGTTTAATTTTTTAATTTTTAATTGAGCTTAATTTAAATTATTATATATTGCTTGAGTTTGTGACCATTTCGTGAGAAAATTATAATTGTTAAAAAAATTAATTTGAAAATATTTTATGAGACATAAGATTTATTTTGGACATAATCTACACTAATGGGTGCATTTGATTTTTTTAGCTATGGAGATAAAATTAATGAAATTCAATGATAAAGATTGAATTTTAAAAATTAAAAGAGCATCTAAGAGCTCTGAAAAATAAAATAAGGAAGAAATTATTAAGCTTCATCAAAGGTACAATAAGCATTTTTTATTAAAAAAAATTAGAGAATTTTTATATTTTTTTTTTTCATCTTTTTTCTTAGCTTCTTTTGAATTTAATGATTGTGATTTTTCTTAAGCTTTCTACCATCTCTTCTAGTTATTGAATCAATTGTTTTCTACCCTCTCTTCCTCTCACCAATATACTCAGCCGCCGAGAAGAAATTGCAGAGCCCTCTCTCGGTTTTCGCCTGGAGCGTCTGGCATCTCATCATTTTTTTCTCCCCAATTTCGTTCCCATCCACCGTCACCGACAGCACACCCACATTTCATCATTCATCAACTTTACTTCTTCCTTTGACGCACAGGCCAGTCTTTAGTCCCCCATTTAATTTTTTTATTTCATTTTCCGACAACTTCTCATCCACTCAGCCACTCCACATTCAGCCACACCATCCATTCTCCTCTCCTTCACAATCATTCACGACACATACCTCTCTTCACTCCCATAAATCTCTTGACCATGACTTGGTGGGAGATTGGAAGAAGAAAATTAATGGGAGCTTGAGCTAAATTGGGAGACAACTTAGAATGACTATGAAGAAAGCTAGAACCTAGGATTTGCACTTGAAGATCATTGGACAGTGATTTTTAATTTATCTTTTTAATTCAAGAACTTAAGATTATTTAATTTTAAATGATTTTAAGTTGTAATGTTTGAGTATAATCTAATTAGAGATTGTAAATATTTTGAATCTTGAATTGAATTAATATTTGGATCGATTTTGCATTGAATGAATTTCTGAAATTTATGTTTATATACCCTTGCTTTGTCAATTAAATTAATGATTGAGTTCTTATTATTAATTTAATTGTCATTGTGGTGTTTGTTATAAATTTGAGTTGTTTCTTCTAACTCTTGATTGATCAATTGAGTTGGTAATTTATCTAATTGTTCAATTAGATAATTTAAATATTTTTTCTAGATTTATTTTGAATTAATCATTATTGTTTTTAATGAATTTAATTTGCCTAATTCATAATTATAACATTTAGTTTACTATGAATTTTCTAGTAGATTAAGCATTAGACTTTGTACTTACAGGTTCTCTTTACTTTAATTGGATATTTGAATTTATTAATTTCACTCCTATTATTTCCTTTTGGTCTAACTAATTGAACTAAGTTAGGAAAGTTAATTTCATGTGATGTCCAAAGTTCTCCCCTTTACCACATTTGAATCAAATTTTCTTAATTTGTGGTCAATTATTCCTTTTTTTTACTTAATTAATTTCTTTAGCTTTCATTTCATTTTTTCTTGAAACAAAACCCCCCAAATCATAATTTAGAATTCATGCATTGCATAATAGAATTTAGTTGTTAGACTCGAGCGTTAGCATCTATTTAGATAGTTTTAGTGTAAAAATCTAGCATGTAGTTTTAGATTTTTTTTATTAGTTCTTAAATATCTAGAATTAACTTAAGATTAACCCCTAAATTACTCCTTAGAAAGAATGATTTAGGTTTAGCCTGTATTATATTAAGTCAATCTTAATTTAATTGAGTGCCGACACGATTTAGACATCCATCAATTTTAGCACTGTTGTTGGGGAACAATGGTTTGTCCTTGGAGTTCCTAAGTGTTTTCATGCATTTCACTTGCATTTTCATGCATTTTTATCTTGTTTTGGTCTTTTACATTTTGCATTTCCATTGATTTTGCTTAAATATCCTGTTTCTAGAAATTGTTCTATTTTTTTCCCATAAAATTTTTATGTTCGGTATTCCAAAGTTTTTGATGTGCTAATCAATTTTGGTACCTTGACGTACCAAATGTGGGTTATTTTTGCCACATTCAGCCGTTTTCAAGGTTTTTTTTTCCCCAAATTTTCCTTTAATTTTTTTTAATTTTCTTTGAATTTTTCTTTTTTTTCCAGTTTTTTCCAGTTTTTTTTTGAATTTTTCTGACCTTTCCTTTGTT